GAGCCCTGCTGGTTTGACGGCTGGCACTCAAGACAAGTATGAACGTGCTGTTAAACGGTTGCCGTCAGTTTCGGCCAGTAAATCTTCTGTCTCACTCGGCATAACGTTCATGTGTAGCCTAAATGACCGGATGTTGCTTCGTCATGGCACGCTTCTAGTACTTCTTTCCTGAGTGGTGTTGGGACGACAAGTAAGTAGGTAATGCCGCTCGAAGAAAAGTTTACCTTTAAACGACCTCGTTCCGCCAGCAAAACGATGCTACCCCTCTTGCGAAGAGCTTTGGCATAGTAGATGTGCGCCCCTCTAAGAAATCAATAAGGGTTTGCAACTCAGGATCGTCGCGTTGCTGCTGTGCGATTGTAGACGTGTTGACTACACCGACAAACGCCGCATCGTCATCATCTTCAGCATTTGCGTCTTCTAATGGGGCGCGAGAAAGGCAATCGGCGTCTGTATGTCGCTTTCAGGATTTATAAACTATAGTCATATGGAATTCTTGAAGCTTGAGGCTCCAGCGCGCCAATCGTCCTGACAGGTCCTTCATGTTCGTCAACCAACAAAGCGAGTGGTGGTCGCTGATGACTTTAAACGGGCGGTACAAATATGGACGAAACTTTATGACCACCCACACCACCGCAATACACTCTTTTTCAGTGGTAGAGTAATTCTCCTGTGTACGGGATAGTCCGACTTGCATGAGCAATTACTCGTTCGGCGCCATCTTGCCACTGAACAAGAACAGCTCCTAAGTCGACATTGCTTGCGTCAGTGAGAACCACTGTCAGAGCGTCATCGTCCAAGTGTCCAAGAACTGGCGGGCTTTGAAGACGTTGTCGCAGCTCGTTGAACGCTTCCTGCTGCTCTTCACCCCACACAAACGTGATGTCTTCCCTGATGAGTCATGTTAAAGGTGATGCAATACGCAAAAAATTCCGAATGAAACGTCGGTAATAGGCGCACAGGCCTAAAAATCACCACACTGCCTTCTTGTCTGATGACGTAGGAAAACTTGCAACAGCGGCTATTTTGTCTGGGTCAGACCGTACACCTTCCCTGCTGACAAGGTGTCCCAAAAAAAGAAGCTCTTCGAAGCCAAAGTGACATTTTTCTGGCTTGAGTCTTAGTCCAGCCGATTATATCGCTTGAAATACCGTGTGTAGTCGCTTCAAGTTCTCGTCAAATGCCACTGAAAATACAAAACATCGTCCAAATATACCAGGCACGCTTGCCACTTTAAACTTGACAAGACTGTGTTCATGAGTCGTTGAAACGTTGCCGGTGCTGAGCACAAGCCGAACGGGAGAACTTTGTACTCTTAAAGACCATCGAGTGTCACGAATGCTGTTTTTTCTCGATCTCTTTGGTCAACTTCTATTTGCAATATCCGCTCCGTAAATCCATCGAAGAGAAATACCGGGCATGGTGAAGTCGATCGAGAGAATCGTCTATACGAGGCAGCGAGTAAACGTCCTTTTTCGTAACCTGATTGAGCTTGCGGTAATCAACGCAGAAACGTAAGGTGCCTTTTCTTCACCACTACTACCGGTGATTCCAAGGACTTTTTGACGGCTGAATAACGTCATCCTGAAGCATCTTTCGCACCTGACTTTATGTGGCCTCACGTTCCCGCGGAGCTACTCGGTATGGGTGCTGCCGTATGGGTCCGGCCGTTTCATCCGTAATTATGCGATGTTTCGTGAACGGCGTTTGGCGAACTCTGTACGTCGAAGAAAAACAGTCCTGAAACTCATTAATAAGCTTCAGAGGCTTTGCTTCTGTGGGGGCAGTAAACTTGGGCCAACGTGAACGGATAGAAGGGCGGACCCGGTGACATCGGCTTTCTCCACAGTCAAGCAGCCTGCAACCTCAATGAGCTCCTTGACGTATGCGACGGCCATACTTCTTGCAAGATGTCGTCGCTCAGTACTGAAGTTCGTAAGCAGAACGTGCGTGGGTCAGCGATTGAGGCCTACGACAGCTCTTGCAACAGATAGTCCATGGCTGAATAGCAATGCTGGAATTTGTTCAGCGATGTGGTCGAAGTTGCCTGGGTGGTCGCATGTTACAGCTACGACAGCACTTGAACGCGGTGGAAGGGTCACGTGATCTTCGAAGACGCGCAGATGTTTACGCCGCTGGTCGTTACATCTCATATCTGAAACTTGATCTGAGGCCATCAAAAATGTAACTGACCTGTCTGGAATGTCTATGACGGCACCGTATTTACAAAGGAAATACATCCCCAATATCAGGTATTTGCAACACTTGGACAAAATTACGAATGTGGCAACGAAACCTGAAGCACCGGTACTAATTTTGGCAGTGCACTTTCCAGTCGGCGTCATCAGTTGGCTTCCGCAGTTTTTACGGTAGGCCCCGTTCATGACGTTTTAGCTTTTTTAAGCCAACCGGCAAGCTTTCTGCCCATGATATAGAAATCTACGCCAGTGTCTACTAGCGCTGTCACAGGGCGTCCGTCTTTGTAAACAGCTATGTCGGCGCTTACAATTTCCTGTAGGGTCGGAGGCGTTGCATGGTTCGTCGTATTGTCGTATCGTACTAGTACTGGAGGTATTGCATCATCTCGACGAGTAGCAACTTTCCCTCCAAAGGTCGCAGCTGTTAGTTTCCCGATGAGGGCTTGGGGACCTGCCCCGGACAGCGTCGGCGTAACTACGACGGTTCGGTGAAGAGCTCGGCGAAGGTAACGGAGAGTGAGATCGACGATGCAGAGCAGATGGCTGTCCCTGCGGGTGCGCGCTGTCACGTCGGATGTCGAAATGAGACCGTGAAGAACTCGGCGCATAAGTAGGGTATCTTTGTTCATGATATGGACAGACGCGGTAAACATGTCCACCTTCTCCGCAATGGAAACACAGTGCACGGCGGTCGACGGTGCGCCACAGATCCGTCTTGTCGACTGGTAGGCACCCTAAGTGACCAAGTTTCATGGTGTCGGCGGAGGGTAGAAAGGCGGGTAAAACGTAGTTTCTGTACATGCGTTATATTGCGGAGTCGTCGTCGTTGGTCGTGGCGGTGGCGGCGGTGGGTTGAAGACTGGTGCCATCGGCGCGTTGTAAGAATGAGCCAGTGCAGGCAAGTTGTGCGGCACTTGCGATGATTGACGGGGGGCTGCCGCATAGTTAAGAGATTGCTGGGCTGGTAGTGATTCGGGCTGCGAAAATGCTTCCCTGATTTCCTGCCGCACAACTTCTCCAACTGAAGCCATCGCCCGTTCTTGCAGAGTCACAAGGAAGCTGCGGATCTCCTCACGAACAACCTCGCGAATAAGCTCACGCAGAGAACCGTCACTGCCGGCCGTCAAAGCAGAGACGCTGATTGAGGTATCGTTTGGTCGCTCGTAATAGCGACACTTTTGCTGCAGTGCGCGCTCGATAGCTGTAGCGTCTTCGGTGAATTACACAACGGTAGTCGGTGGATTGCGGAGAAGGCTGGCAAAAAGCTGTTCTTTGACGCCTCGCATCAAATGACAGAGTTTCTTGGCTTCAGGCATATCAGGGTTAGCCCGTCTTGGAAAAACACTTTTTTTAGGAGCGAAGCTCCTTAAGGCGTGGGCTGTGCGTCCCCTGTATGTAGCCACCTCTCGTTCAGTTCTTGCAGTGTTCACTAGATGGCGGTACTTGTAGCTGACGGCATTAAGTATTACGCTAGCCACCGCCCGATCTAAAAGGTACAGCCATATCCATCCGTCCATCCGTCCATCCTTCCGTCCATCCATCCATCCATCCATCCATCCATCCATCCATCCGTCCGTCCGTCCGTCCGTCCACCCATCCATCCATCCATCCGTCCGTCCGTCCGTCCATCCATCCGTCCATCCGTCCATCCGTCCGTCCGTCCGTCCATCCATCCGTCCGTCCGTCCGTCCGTCCGTCTGTTCATCCATCCATCCATCCATCCGTCCATCCATCCATCCGTCCATCCACCCATCCATCCATCCTCCCATCCATCCATCCATCCGTCCGTCCGTCCGTCCGTCCGTCCGTCCGTCCATCCATTCATCCATCCATCCAAAAGATGCAAGATGTTATAAACTAGACGGCGGTACGTGTAGTTGATTATGAAAGATGCGAGGTGTTATAAAATAGGAATGATGCCACATATGGCGCGTGTCATCGTTCGATATAGTGCGGCGACGTACGCTAGGGGGAGCGTTGCAATAAAATCGAGTGGGCAAAATGTACGGAGGATTCATGGTCTACCAGGTTTACCTCCGGAGCTTCGCCCACTCATCATCATTCACTTCGTGGATGTGGCGGCACTTTTTTCCAAGATCGGCTCAAACCCTGTTTCAAATCCTCGTAATACATCAACCCTACCCCATGCCACTTTATTTGATTTCCAGAACAGGAAGAGACATATCAAAGTGCTAAAGTGAAAAAGTAAACAATATAGGTGCTCTCAAACACTGCAAATCATCATTTCAGAAAATTTTTTCTAAACTGAAAGAAAATACTGGACTTTGTAATCGTGTATCAAGGTTGACGCCCAGTTATGACGTCATTTATTTACCTGGTGACGCTAAAAGATGTTTTAGAAGGTCGACATAACAAAAAGCATTTTTCATATTTTGTGAGGAGTTTTCACAACTCCATGTCCGGTCCAACAAACCTATCCTGTGATCATGCGCGAAGTATTTCAGAATCTTGTTGCACTAGCAAGTTCCCTGAATTTAAAAACTTTGCGAACAGGTCATTTTCTACAGGCTGGTTTAATGAAACATGAGTAGAAAAATGTTCAATAAACGAAATAAAGCATTAAAAAATAGGTTTTTTTTCGTCCGCAAGGTAACACGAAAACCTATAAAGAAGCACTATTCAACCTTTTTCATAAATATAACTTACTACTACAGTCACAATGTCATTAGTTCCTCACGGTGACCTAATTCTACTTGACAACAGCCATAACAGTTTCTGTTGCATAACGCCTCTAAACATTCCTTAAGAATAACGATGAACTGCCTTGATAAGAAGCCTTACCTGATCAATGCTTTTTATCGCTCCAGAGAGTCCGGGATCACATCCCCTATACCATATGGTTATTGCGATGCCTAATAATGTGCAGGTAAGATATGGAAGAAGAAGTAAAAGGGCACCGAAGCTTACGGTTCTGAAAAGAAAAAAAAACAAAGCTGAGAAGAAAGTTTGAGCACATATTTCGGCAGACAACTTTCCTAGCATTAGCGTCATACTTCGAGCTGGTTGGTCCTTTGTCGTTCGAGGCTAACTTTAATGGCAAGCCTAAAACATGACCTGCCTTTTATCGCATTTCTCTTTTGCTTTTGAGTCAAAAGCTCGCCTCAATAAACGCGAAATTTGACCACAGTTCGGCGTTGGCAACCCCCGTCGGTGGTGTCAACAAGAATGATAGGAGAAATAATCATTATATGGAAATAGTAAAAAATAAAGAATGGTAAAGAAGGCAGTGCACTTCTGACCTTTCTTTTGGCTCTGCATCCCCATTGCCAAGCTGCCCGCTTTTTTTTTACATAATGGTATCCCGCTGCACATCAGATGTCTTTCTTTCGGTGCACGCGTGTAAACAAAAGTTTGCTGGTATTGCCATCTTTAAACTAGTTGCAATAGAACATACTACGTCGAGTGTAACAAAATTGTTTCCGTGTATGTTGATACTGCAATCATGTGTGGTCCACATGGCGTACTGGAAATATCAAAAACGGTACTCGACCCAAATTTAACGAAGGAATGGTTACAGCATCGAAAATAAATAACAAGCAGGAGTAAGAAATGAGGCTAAAGAATTAAAGAGGAGAAAAATGAAGGTGACCACGTGAACGAAACGCACATCCGGTTTTCAGAGTTGAAGGTAATCCTGAAAAGAAGGCGCCCTCAAAGCTGCCCTCTTTTTATCACTGCCTTGAACTAAAAAAATGACAGTGAATCCCGGAAAAAGTTACTTGGCTCTTGCACAAAGCGTCCCACTTAGACGTTAACAGCAGTTGTGTATTATCTTATCTTCTATAACCACCATGTATGATCTCATTAACCCTCACCACATGTGTTCATACTTTTCCGCTGCAGTTTTTTTTTTCTTATGAAGAACAGTTCAGATTTCGAATTTTTTAGTTCACACAGCATTTGCAATAAACTCCTTAATGCATTTTTTTCTGGAATACCGCATAAGCCAGTATGCTCCAGTTTTACGGAAAGAAAGCTGTATGATTTAAACTTCCCAGACAGCACATTACGGCTGGTAGTTTTTCGCGATAAAACTCCCTCATGAAGAACACTGAGGAACTAGCAAAAATGGAGTTGTTAAAACAACTATGTATTAAAATAGCATGACAAGCAATGTGGTGGGTCCGGCTTGAGTGCACACACCTAATAATGTTGCCAATTTGAAGGCGGGCTCATGCCTTGGACAAAAAGAGCAACCTTTGTCTTATGAATAGAATTATCAAGAATAAGCGGGTGTCGATCACCATACACCTAAGTCAATTTATGGGCCTGTAATAGGTTAATAAGATTTTCAGGTACGCCTATGAACGTTGAGTACTCATAGCTCCAGTTAGTTAAATTTGAATTTTTCAGAAATCTTACTGCGATGCTGCTTCATGCCAATGGAGTTCGACCACAAATTTAACGTGTTATGATGAAATACATAGGCATTATAATAAAGACGTGGACGTTTGAAATACAATACATATAACTTTAAAACTGAAAAAAAGCGTTTGTGCACCGAAATATACACGGAAAAAGAAGCGTGTGTACTGTTGAAGGTCATTCAAGCATAGGTGTTCCCGTGTATGCATTGCATACAAGTGGCACCCCTTGGTATATATTGTATTTGGCAAAGTTATGGCTTTCGAAAGCCCCCATCACACATACTTGCCCAAAAATATATTCCTCCACAACTATTTTATTTGCTAACTAGAAGAAACTGGTTATGTTAAAACCAAAGTTAATATAGACTTCGACTTTGCCGATGCAGATGACCAGTATCAAGTACACGTACTTCTGAGGGCAATAAAGCCCAAATAAAACCAACTAACCTTTGAGCTTTCTTCACTGTCCGAGATGCCATTATTCGCTGGACAACCATTTGGTCAAGGCAGAGCCGATACATTCCAATTCCTGAGGCTCCCACTAAACAGGACCATACGTTTTCATCACTGGTCAGGTCAAACATGAAGCTGAAAAAAGAACCCGTGTGGCACCTTTAACGCTCGAACATCAGCGCAACAGATAACGTTGCGCACTCAGTAATCTTTTGGCTGGACACATAGATACGCGAAGATGCTGTCTTGTCGATCATGCTCGCAACGAAGGAGCAACCGAAAGAGCTCATGTTACCACCACCAAACAAAGAGCTGGGTTTTTGTTATTAGTCTCTCCATCTATCTCTGCTTGGGTACTTGCTGATTATAAAAAATGAACCAGCAACAGGTAATGCAATGCCTTTTTACTGGGAATTCTGTTGTGCAAGAGCTTATAAAAAAGAGAATGCCGAGCACGTTTTCTAAGTTGTGTTTACTAAGCGTTTCTTATCGTTTATTTGACTTCTTTTGTAGTTGTGACAAGTTTATTATGTAACTGCATTTCGCGCATTGTCCTGCAAAATGCACCCACTGATTCGGCCGTTAATGCGGAAGACTTTATAGGTCAATTATATATATACAGCATTAAGAAGCCACTTCATGACAGCTGTAGATCAGCTTTCTCGTGAAGAAGAACCTTGCACTGATACCAGTACCCGGCTGGAGTTGGGTGTGTAGGGTGTGTGCTGTACAGTCTTTTCATGTCACTGTGCTAGGACGAGCTGTGGGGCTCAGTGGCGCTATTCCTGACATTGGTACAGTGCGCAGAGGAACAGAATCTTGTGCATTCAGAATAGAGGCAAGAGAGTGTCATGCCGTAACAATGGGTAATGGCGTGCAGTCATTAAAGACACACAGTGACTTCTTCAGCATACTACAACTATTAACGTGCACAGAAAAAAAACAGAACGAAGTCTTAGACACACTGGAGGAGGAAACAGACACGTATGTTTAAAACAAGTACAAGCATTCAGACTTTGTCCGTGTGAATGCAGATGTTGTTTTTATTACCATGCGCATGCGCTCACACCTCCTACAAAGACGTATTTGAAACAGCCCATACGGTAATTCAGAAGTTCGCCACATGGTCATTATGTTATCCGGGGGGGGGGGATTTATGGTGTGGGAGTTTATGCTTCATATTTTTATAACTAAGACAGCCCGAAACCATGCAGTAAATAATGTTTATTCGGCATTTCAGAGCAACCTGAGTGCTCTGTGAGTTGCGGGCAATAGTTTTTAATGTGTTTAATTAACACACTCGTTGAATAATGAACGTGTTCACTTTTTACTTCAGGCACAGCAGCGACAGGTCGAACTTACTGCAAGACATCATATGTTCTCTTTCTTGAAAGGGGGAAGGACGTACATGATACCTCTGTTACACGACAATTATAATGTTATTTACACCAAATGTCATTCGTTTGTAATGTCACTTGTTCCCTGTCACGCGGAAAAGTAATGCCAATCAATGAAAACGACATTTCCAGTCGAATTAGTTTATGAAACACATTCACAATCGATTGTAGGCCGAATGCGTAGTCTCGACACCAGAAACTTTTAGGATCATGGCTATTAACTTGTGCATGCGTAACTTTTGTACGTTCTAAATACTTTATTCTTTACTAGATTACGATATTACTGGTTTGATGACGTAATGTCACAGGCGAAAGAGTGCTATTTTTGTAAAGCTACCCTCCACTACGTGCTCAACTACAGCGGCCGGACCCCGGCCATGGTTCATTCGTGCTGTATTATTGTTGTTGCCTGTATCATCGGTGTCGATCGTTCGATCGCACGTGTTGTGGTGGTCACGGTCGTAACTAGTGAAAATTGCTGCTACCGTCTCATTTTTTGCAACCGGGCAGATAGTCGTGACTCGTTCCCCCACGCTGCAGTTCAGAATATACACACGCTGGCCGCTCATAGTGTTCGCCATGTTTGTTTAAGACTGGCCTTTGGCTTGACTTTGTTGTTGTCGTGCAGCTGTATTGAGTTGCGCAAAAACAGCTGAGTTTACAATCTAGGAGCACCTTTTTATTGATAAAAACTTATTTTTCAGTTTACGCGCACAATGCATGGAAGTTTTATAATTTTTATTTCTGCCAAAGTTAGGGCTCAGGAAGGCTAAGGTCATGGTCATCGCATTAAAGTGACATTTCTTTTCTTCGTGTGAAAGCGCGCAGGTAAAATGGCATTAGGTTTACATAATGCCAGTCGATATAAATAACATTCGATTTACCGAGGAAGAAGGTGTCAGACTCATGTGAACATGAAACTAGCCTGAATAATAGCACCCGGTATGTGCTCATTCAAGAACACCTGTTTCGCAGCTAACTAGGCAGTCGGTATGACTGCTTACGGTGGTCACCTTTTAACGTGGCTTAAAAGTAAAATCACTTATTATATAGCCATTTGTTTTTCAATTAAACGAACGTACACCTAACTAAATGTTTTTTCTTACTATTTCAGTCCTGGTATGACCCATCCACTTTGTGAAGTAATGCAAAACGAGAGAATGTAATATCGAGTAACAACGTGCAATTACAGTAATAGATTCGTAGGTATCAAGAGAAACGTCTCTGTGTAGTTTAATGCAGGAGCGCCAAGGTGGAAAGCTGAAAAACGCTTAAAAGAATCACATATAAGCAGCAACATCAGTTCTTCTAGTGGACTCAAGTGCGCTGTTCTTTGTATACTTACTTTCCAATGTACATACCGACGTCCATATCACTCAGTGGCTGAATAGTTGAGTTTGGAGAGAAGGCATCCACCATTATTTTTGCAAACACGGCAGTTGGTGCGACCATGATAATGATGAACTGCGTGCAGTCTGTCCACACCACTCCACGAAGCCCTCCCTGTGAAACCATACACATAGTTACAGGCAATTACTATGAGAATAATTTCAATTCCAGCAGGCACCAATATCAAATCTGTATTTTACGTTGCTGAAAGCTCTAAAATGTTTTAATTAGAGTACGCTGCATCAAAATAAAATAGGCAATTTTCATCAAAGAGTATGTACAGACACGATATCGAATCAGTACGAAGTAAATTTGTAGATGACACACCATAAAATGGACACTTGTCGTTTGCTTTAAATGAGTTAAAGAGCTGTGAAACTCTTAGCAGAGTAACTCTGATTTCTGAATATCAATTAGGAAATATACAGCAGGCATGCTGCACCAGCGGAAAAGCCTCAAGGCAAGAATACGAAAAAAATCATTTTTGCAGTGAGTGACGTTAAGCGGAAGTGAACACACTGGTTAAGATAATATTCATCTTTAAATGAACTAATCTGGAATCCATGGTCAAACCAAGAAGGTTTCACTCCGGTTGGAATAGTAGACCCACATTCCAAAACAGACGCACACCCTGCTTTGCCATGTGTGGTGCTAAGGAGAGAGCCGCATTTTACATTACGAGAAGCAGTCGCCTGTATTTATGTGCAATGCTCTACTCTTCACCTCGAAGGATGACCAAGCAGGCCAAAGTTTAATCTCAGTCAAAACGAGAACATTACTAATTGCGTGGTCAAAGGAGCACGTAAAAAGAGTCCCTATTCACCAGAAGCCATTCTGTATATCCAAAGGAGCCTGTGAAGTGAGCTGTGATCAAAACCTGTATTTATTCAGTGTTATGGCAAAAAGAAAGTTTTCGGCTCTCACTTGCCCTTCCAATGAATAATTAATTGTGCATTGCTGGTTCCTTGTTAAAATAAGTACTACGTGTGTTACTGTTATTATACTGGCATAGCTGGGATAGGGGAAATTCAGCCCGAGTCAGTTGTTTGAATGAAAGTGAGACCAAGAAACTGCGCTTCCTACTCTTTCACCAAAAATTTACAGTAAAGATGCCACGTTACGCCAGCATACCTGAAGAAATCGATATGGGTCGAAGGTTTATAAAAGTAGTCAAATAAATTTTCATCAAGAACCTTCAACGTGTTCAATAAATTTTCACTATGATAATTCTCAGCATGCCCACTGGACGACTAAGGAGCCTCTCAATGATCTCTAGCTTACCCTATCCTATTCAATATGCTTCCGTTTTCTCTCTACGGAAGCTCTTAATTACGAACCTTATCTATCCTCTTTCTTCCTCAACTGAATTTTTCATCCCTTGCTAAGTTTCTTTATCTACCGGATGTCTGTTTTTTTAATACGTGACTAGCCTAGATCCGTTCTTTTTATTTACCTCATTCACCTTGTGAATTTTGGAACACCACTTGGCAAACACCGTCGCATCACATTTAGTGAGCCATCATTAAAGCAACAAAACTTGTGTTGAAAGAACTGTGCTGCTGTAGGAGACATTTTGACAAGAGAACTTCTCGAACATCTTCGACAACAATCGCATTAAGAGAAAATGGACAACTGCCCTAATATACACGCGTAAAAACTAGACCCACACACGCAGGTGTAGACTTGCAGCTAGCCTTTCTTTCACACAGTCCACCTGTAAATACGCCTCACTAAAACCATCAGCACGCATGTGGTTTTTTGAAAGGTATCAACACACACAGAAAAAACCTAAGCAACCAGAAGTCGTCGCCTCTGCAACGCTCATCGATAAACTTAATCTTGGTGTTTTGCGAAACCCACAAGGCTCACTGACGCATTCATTCCCCGTATTTTTAATTGGGTACGCTTCGTAAATATCCTTTACTCTATTTTCGTGGCAGTGGCTCAATATCTTAAAGCGATAGAAAAGAGAAGCAATGACATTATGGAGGCTGAAAAACTGCGCTCTGGAAAATCGAATACTTTAAGCTTCACTGTCTTGAGTTCATTACTAGTGGAAAAAAATCAAGACTGATGTTTCATTTTTAAATTTCTGCGCGTGACGTAACAAATTTCAAAACGAAATTTCGTATTTTCACAGCATTGACGGGATGAAAATTTCCAAAACATCGCATGCTAAGCCTATGGCACCCACATATTACAATGTACCTAATTGCTATTGAGTGCAAGCTCAGTAGGACGCAATAGACGGCATCGAAATTTACTACGTCACGATGTTTGGTGGGGAAACTCACAGTGTCGTCTTTGGCCACTTTTTTCTTTTCGCGTGTTTTGTCGGTTACTAAGCGTCATGTCGTGGTAAGAGTGGTGTTTTCGGGATTGTGAATCTGGACTTCACTAATACGCGAGAGATCGTTCTGCTCTTTAGTGTGCCATTAACATCTTTCAGCATCAATTCCCTCTTACACTCGGAGCAGTGGTTGAGTAGGTGCTCACTTATATTGTTATTTATTGAAAATTTACGTTCGCGCGCTTTCAGGTTCGGAGTGAACGCACTCAAATACACCTTTGTTTTTCGTTGAAATGCAACACTTATTGCCTTCAAATAGATTTTAGAAATAGCAAACCACATATTCTCACAGGGAGCTCCAAAATATGCGTCGCAAAGTGGTTGGGGTATCGCGTGTGATTTTCGAGCGATTAGGTATCGTTTTGGAATGCTTGTTATTTCGTATTTATTATTCTTAAATATTGAATGAAGTACAAGGGTTGCCTTTGACATCAAGCGAAAGCCAAGAAAATACGCCCTTGACTAATTTCCGAACGTGCGATCCATTGTATGTACATTGGGGGGCAACTGAACGGAAGTGTAGCCCGAGCAGTCGTTGAAAATGCGAATGCATTTCTCAGTCGGGCTATGTCAGGCATCCGGCGGCGTCCACTCACCGGCAAGTGTTATCTCTGCGCTCTCACTCCTTCTTCTATAGCAACAGCTGCGGGCACGCGTGCTTATCGTCTCCCTTAGCAACCGGTCCATTTGCTGCAGGTGTTGAGGGTGTAGTAGTTGAGAGTGAGTGAAGAGAAAACTGCCCTCAGGCGTGCGAGGGCGTTCGAATTGCGGGAGCTCTGACGGAGCTCCCGCGTGGGTGGAGAGAGTGTACAAGAGGGTAGGTGCAGTGCTTCGCCACTCCTTCTCTGGTCAATTGCTCTCTCTCTTCCCAGCTCCCCACGTTTCCATTCGCTCAATCGTACGTATGTAAATAGAGTGAAGCGTGAGCCTCTTTCTCAACCGTTCACTGGCTGATCAAGGTTTAAATAAATGGTTGCGGTCGAAATACTCGTCCCGTCATTATGTATGCCATTAAAATTACTACGCCATTTACTGTTCACACAAGAAATGCATTTGCATTTCCTCATGATTCCTTTAGGGGAGTTGGTCAATTTTTAAAGACGATAGCGTTTCTTGAGGTACTTCAACGCAACAGTTTTGGTATGCCTAGGTCTGTCGGTACATTTGTCTGTTTGTCCTCCAAAGCAGTTACCGCAACGATCAAAATACAACCCCATCCGCAGCGCCAGCCATTAATGCTCAAGTTTCAACCTTCATGCTTGCGTGATTGTCATTGAACGGCAATTATTGCGCATTCCTCAGGCCCAATAGCAACACGTCAGTATAATGGCATGTCTGTTTATACTAGAGAAGGCATACATGAGTGATTCTTAGGACGGTAGCGTTTATTACGTGGCACTGACGATGTAACAATATGCACAAAAACGCAAGTGTTTCCAGCAATTCGCTAAGACGACATGATGGTGGCACCTAACCGTCGCTTTGCGTTCTGCACCCTGTTCCCTCTGAGACAGGCGCGCACGCCATCCTTCATTTTCAAAGATAACTGCCATATAGCGCTCGTTTCTCACATGCCTCGGTGCACTTGTACGCCTCCCCTGTACTGATCAAGACATTCTAACCCAGTGCCTCCAGACTACGATTCACCGATGTTGTCGCGCAGAGCATCACATAAACGTTTTGTTCACCCTCTTGAGATCGAAGACTATTGTCCTTTCACGAAATTTTCGTTGAAACATGCACATACGGGGAAATTTTTTTACTAGCATACGCTGCCTGCGTCAGCCTTGCGAGGCAAGAGATGGGGGAGCGACAGTTTTGCGTATGTCTTCCTAAGATGGCACGAGACGCGAGCATGCGCAGTGGGGGTATAGATACGCTGCCACTGCCGACGTCGAAGCGCGGCATCATGTAATGAAGAAATGCTCCAAGTTTCGAAAATGCTGGATTGGAAGCTTCCACGATGCTTTGCCAGCAATATTGAAGATTGCATTTGCCCTCCGAAAATCCCAGAAAAATGCTCTTTTCTTCTGCAGCCCACTTATACATCAAGTGGATCTGATCTGTCACTGTTAAGGCTACGTTAGTTATTACTTAAAATATAGTGGCTTCTGGTGAAATAACCCCAACAGATAAGTATCAGGGACTTTATCTTGAATAAAATTTGCCTTGAATTTGGAGCCTAATAAAAAAATATATTAACATGAGGACAAACTTTACGCACTATCTAACCCAAAAGTGTTGCCTCGTTAAATTCGTTGGGCGTAAAAAAGGACGCTTTTTCTATCTATCTATCTATCTATCTATCTATCTATCTATCTATCTATCTATCTATCTATCTATCTATCTATCTATCTATCTATCTATCTATCTATCTATCTATCTATGACTTTCACCTCTCCTGGCCATTTTGATGATGGTATATTTACCAGAGTTGACGCTGCATAACATGACTGCAAGTAGAGCATAATTGGCTAGTCATAACATCAAAATCACGATATCTATGCCATGAATGCCATGATTTATATTTTATTGTGTTACTGCGCTTGCTGTAGTTTCGTTCGCACAGCATATTACAAAACTTGTATGACATTACTGCATGGCGAACATAAGTGACACACCCCAACTGGGAAATCATGACATGCATGTCAGTTATTTCATGACTACACGCCACGCTCAAGGTACGGTCACGGTTGTTTGGCTAGCTTCACATATACCAAATTTAGTATTTTGGGACATGAAAAAATAACGAAGGTTTATGGCTGGTGCCAATATGATAATCGTGAGATTCGTGTCATGTAAGAACATGACAACATAGCACGCTCGTGATGCACTTGCGGCCATTTCGCTATAGCTCTACATACGCAAAAATTTGATATTGCGTGACTTGAATAGACAATGAAAGTAAATGACATGTCCAAACATGACATCTTGGTAGGAAGCGCAGCCACTATTACAAAGAACAACACAAGCGCTTTCTGCCAAGATGAATTCATACCAACTGGCCCAATACCATTGTTTATTGACAAACATGACAATCATGACATGCGTGTCGTGTAAAACATGACTACATGTTACACACATAGCCTGCTCAGGGCCGTTTTGCTAGCTTCTCATACACCAAGTTTGCTATTACGCGAACTGAATGAACGACGAACACAAGTTTATGATGCATCATAATCGTGACACGGAAGCTATGCACGACATACTTTATGTCCGCCTCGTAACATTGTGCTTATTTTAAAGTGAAATATATTACTTCCTCATTCGTGCTTCGCTTATCATCGATTCCCACTGTACGTGGTATCTCCCAATTTTTAGACTAATGTTTTAGACATATACACTCTACCAAGAATTCAGCAGTAACATACTGCAGCTGAACATAATGCCACTGTACACTACCTCATAATTGCCAAATGTACTGATAGCAGATCAGATTTTATTAGAAGCAGTGAACCAGCATCGCAAGCTATGTATATACTCTAATCAATCTTACATGTTTATGTACGTACTATGCTTAGACACGAAGAAAGCACAGTGGGCAAAGCAACAAATGGGCGCTAATGATATCTTGGTTAAAATCGAGAAGAATAAATTAACACGGACAGGAGGCATAGATTGTAGGCAGGATACCCCTAGTCATTAAGGGTAACTAACTGGATTCCAAGAGTAGACGAGTGTGTGATGGAGAGAAAGAAAGTAGGTGGGCAAATTAGATTAAGAAATTTGCAGATATAACGGGGAAGCAGAAAACACAGGACTGCCTTGATAGGCGGAACATGGGAGAGACCTTCGCCCTGCAATAGGCGTGTTCAAGCTGATGATGGTGATGTCCAAAATACTTCAAGCACTGTGACACGCAGAGAATGTAGTATCACCATTGCAACACAATTATGACAAAATAGTACTAATTTCATACCAGTGCTGTGTAGATCGTTCCAGAAAGCCCGATAGCGATGTTGCACCACAACAGGGGAGCATTGAACACTGGAAGAGATAGTAAATATGGCGAAGCTGTCTCAGTAAGTATGCAAATTATGTGAAACTGATTACCTCGTTTTTTTTTACTTTGAGGCAATCGACAGTACACGTATACTGAGTGAAATTTTTACGCACCTTTAGCTCCAACTCTGCTAGCCACAACACACTTTCACAACACACATTTCTAAAGGCAACACACAAGCGTATTACTGATTATCGCTCTAATTTATCAGTAATTAGGAATAATGACTTCAAAACCTGTGAATGAGTAAGTTGTGCATGTTTCAAAGTTTTAGAATTTCGGAACATTCAACATTCAGTCGAACAAGAACCGCTAAGCCCAAGACAGAATTAGGTTAATTATAATGAATAACTTCACCAAAATGTGCGCCTTTTTTGCAGTGTTTACAGTGCTTCACTACTCAACGGTAGACCAAGGACTACATTGCGGCGGCAGTGGTGTCCTTTTTATGGTCAATAACTATTAGAGGTTCATCATATGATCTTATTATTCGAAGCTCTCCATCACGGCTCTCACCCCGCCATAACCCTTTGAGGGAACAAGGGACAAATGTGTCCCACGTTTTATTATTTGGTAAAAGCTTTCTCCACCGCTTAGTGTTGTCATCAGCTCAATACTCTTCTGTTATAGCGTATGAATAACATTTTGAAAATCACAAAATGTGTTCGGCACAATTGCGATTATAGATACAAGTGATATGTTCCGGGTAAATCATCTTGTGCTGTAGAACGTTTTTTAAATTCAGTGTCACATTGTGTGCAAGATAGCTAAAAGTCTTTATTTGTGGTATTTTTATTCTTTCTGAAACTTGAAAGAAGTAATTTTGGTATGAATTTTAAATTTTCATCAAAATCGAAGCAGTATACCAGCCACAATTATTCTTAGAACAGTACACACAAAAGATGAAGCAATTCTCTACTTAGCTTAACTTCATACGATGCACGCACAGCTGCTTTTCCTCAATCTACAAGACCATTCCTGTTTCTGAAAACAATGCTTTGTTACAAAGAAGGTCCTCAAGATATTTTTATCCTGTTTTACTTATATGAGGGCAGTGGAAATTATACGAAAAAGCTGAGGCTAAAATGGTGTTTCTGAAATTGAGTGCCAAAGGTAAAGAATGACAATATTGGGCTTTATACAGCCAGGAAGTGAAACAGAAGACAAATGCACATTGTCTATGCGAAAAGCTAAAATTTCAACCCTGAATAGAGCTCACGAGTCTGACTCAGAAGTCGCAAGAGCAATTACAGGTTTCAGTGTATTCAGTTACATCCTGTTGAAGTAGCTCACCATGATTCTTGACCACAAATTTATATATAAGCAAACATTCATGCATAACTGAAGTGCTTTTCCTTGTCTGCACCAAAAAATGAACAAAAATACGTTGATGCATTTGATAAATGCGAAGACCTCGGACAGAGCTGCTGGGCTGAACACAACTGGCCGAGGCGTAGATTGAGTAACACATCTCTAAATAAGGTATTCTGCAATTTTTTGCACAGTTGTTAAGCGTCCATCTGTATCACTTGCATAGGGTGTTTTCATCCTAGAAATTTGGCAAAATGATTACAGCTTGGTGCCGTCATGACACAAAGAGACAGGCGTTGTTCCACTTTTAAGGGCAAAGCTCCTTAAGCCGCGGCTCATGTGTCCGCGATATATTTAGTAGTAGTAGTAGTAGTAGTAGTAGTAGTAGTAGTAGTAGTAGTAGTAGTAGTAGGTAGCCGTCTCCATGGCCGCACTAAAGGAGTGGCACGCGCGCATTCTTTTGAGTTGAGGAGGAAACCAGTGCACGTTAACCATCAAAAAATAATTATTTCTGATGAACTAAGCTTCAGAGACAAGTATCGGTGACTTAATCCCTAATAAAATTTGCCTTGATTTTATAGCTTAGTAATAAAACTAGTAACAGAACGACGCACTTCAAGCGCTATCTGGCGCGAGAAGGTTGCCACGTTAAACTCGCTGGGCGTAATATTTTTAGATGCGGAAGCATCTTATACTCGCGCCTTGTAGTGCGCCGTCCGCGCCGTCCGCGCCGTCCGCACCGCTTCTCGAACATTTGACAGCTGACGCGCGCGCATGCGCCGTCGCGCCGTCGCCCACTCTTCCACCATCTGTGCATCCCTTCCTCCTCTACACACCACGCGCGCTTCACTCCTCCACCATCTGTGCACCCTTCCTCCTCTACACACCGCGTTCGACATCTACAATTCTCCTGATTCTCCAGTGGACGCGCATGTGGCGTCGCGCTTCGAGAACATTCAACAGCTGACAGTGCATGCGCCGTCGAGCTGTATATATACTCAAGGTCGGCGCTCGCTCGCTCAGTTGCCGCTCGTCGGTTGGTTTGTACGGCGCGTCGACGTCCAAGGTCACGGTGAAATGAATTCCAACGAATCCACAAACACAATGATCGACGTCCCTTCGACCAGCGCCGCCCTTTCGCATACGTGTGTACGTGTTCACTCATTTAACACCCCCTCCTACAACCACGTTAACCAATTTAGCCTTCGACCCAAGTAAGTCGCAATTTAACACCCCATTTCACAACCACGTTAACCAATTTAGCCATCGATCCAAGTAAGTCGCACTTTAACACCCCGTTAACCAATTAAATGCTCCGCATCCTCCTCAGTGTTCCCCCGAGGGAAGCTGCGGGCAATTTTTTTTGTTTTAGCAAGGTTTAGCAAGGTTGGGCTACAGTGTCATGAACTAGCAGCAGTGAAAGGTGGGAACTTCCCACCTTTTACCGCCACTAGTTCATGGCACTGTGACCACTGAATGGCGCTGGATGGCGGTGCTTCTACAAGATGAATATATGAATAAAAGAGCAACATTGTGGTACTTGGATTGTTCACTGAATGAATGGACGGATGAACAGACGGACAAAACAGACAGACGGACGGATGGACGGATGGACGGATGAACGGATAAACAGACAGACAGACAGACAGACAGACAGACAGACAGATAGACAGACAGATGCACGGACACACGGGCAGAAAGACAGACGCACGGATGGACGGACCTATGGATGGAAAGACGCACGGGTGAACGCAGGAATGGATGCACAGGCGGGCGTACGAATAGACGCATGGACGGCCGCACGGAAGGACGGACGAACACATGGATGAACACAAGATGTATGCAGGTACACAAGGACAGACGGATGCACCGACGGAATGATGGACGCTTTACCCCACTCATCATCACGCACTCGTGGATATGCTGCATTTTTAGGGGCGAAGCTCCTTAGGGCGTGGGCTGTGCGTCCCCTGTACGTCTCACTTTTTTGTCGTAAAATAATGGCCATATCAGTAGCACATATGATGGTATTGGTTCATCTCATAACTGAATAAGGACGCATGCATAGACACAAACTCTAGAACAAGGCAATGCTCACAAGATGTTGTGTGCATTTCCTTGTGGTGTGCGTTTCGGTGTTTGCACCCTTACTCAAATAAAAGATCATGATAGCATATTTACTGACATTTCTATCATACTGTTTCTAAGCGCAATTTTTAAGTATTACACAGAAATAATTTAGTTAACCTGTAAATTCATTGATTAACCCACAAAGAGATAATATATAGTAGCTTTGATACCGAAAGCTGAACAATATTAATAACGTCCCCAATTGTCCCATCAACAATAAAGAACAGCATTGATTAAGGCGTGGACGTGATAAGAACTTGGGGCAATGGGTGTCCCACTTTATGTCTTAAAATCTTGCGCTGTCTACGTTGGAGAAAACGAAGCTCTTCTATCACGCTTAACTGCTAATAGCCGGGGACTCAAATTAAATCGATGCACAGAAGCCATCAAAGAGAGGGTAAGAGGTGACTATAGGGTTGCGGTAGGGGCGTTCCCAGGACGCAAGCTGGAAGCAGTCATGAGGCAAGCGAGCGCAAAGCTCAAAATGACAGCTGATAGACGAAACCTCGTGATAATTTCAGGCGGTTTAAACGATGTCCTCAATGAAGATGCAGAAGGACTAGCAGCCACACTGGCGAAAGGCGTCGATGACATGCGCGCCACTTCTGCTAAGGTACAGGTAGTTATATGCACGATACCGGAGGTACCGGTGCGTGATAGCAACCTGCAAAGAGCGGTGGTCAACGCAAATCAAGAAATATGGCGGATGAGTCGAGAGAAAGGCTTTGAGGTGGTGGAAATAAACAGAGAGGTGCATAGGTGGGGGGGTTTTCAACGAGACAGAATTCACTTCGATGGGCGGCTAGGTCATGAGGTGGGTTGGCGACTTGCAGGACGCGCAGTAGCTTTTTTGGGGGGCAAGCGAGCCCTTCGGGGTGCAGGATAGCTAGTAACGAGGAAAACAACCAGGGAGACTCTTCGACAGCTGGTATGGACAGATACGATTCTAAAGTGGCACCAATATCTAAGATAGGTAGAGTCCGGGGCATAAATAGACGTAGCCACGAGCGCAGAGCCAATTCAGACATAGGGTATATTAACATGCAGGGTGGTAGGAACAGGCTGAAGTGGGAAGAGATAGAAGAACAGCTAAGGGAAGAGAGGCCGATGGTATACGGTTTTGTAGAAACACATCTCAGGGACATGGAACAACCTCCGAACAATCCGGACTACGCGTGGGAATATTGTAACAGAACAGAAGGCAGCAGAAAGGGGGGTGGTATTGGGGCATTCATTCATAAAAGTACAGACTGGCAAAGGGTCAAGCAGGAGTGCAAGGAACATTTATGGCTAAAAGGGAAAGTGGCAGGTCAAATGACACTCCTTGGTTTCGTGTACTTGTGGACGGGAGCAAAGGCTAGAGAGGAAAACCAGGCAATGGTAGAGTGTATATCAAAGGACATTCAGGAGTTAGGAAGAGAGTGCGAGATAATTATACTAGGAGACATGAATGCGCACATAGAAGATATAGATGGGTATACCGACCCGACAGGCAAAATGATCATGGATATGTGTGAAAGGCTTGATTTGATCATTTGCAACA